AATGTCCTAACAAGCGGCTGTCCTTCCTGAGTTGGGCCACTTTAAGGAAGTGCCCATTAGGCAAGTCTGACTACTGCTGGCAATGTCTGCTCCCTGCTCTTCGCTCTCTCCATGGGCCTGGTGAGTATCATAAAGTGACAAGACCCCTATTCTAAATGTCTGGGAGTTTCCCAGGCAGCTTCCTTAGGATGGTGTGAATATTTGACTCCTGATTATCTGTATGGTAGGTGCTGGGAAAGCATGAGCTCCCAGCCATTGCAGAGGCTCCCCTAGTCCACACATGGTCAGGCTCTGTGCATGGGAGTGGGTGCAGGGCTCCATGGGAAACTCTGGGACACTGTACACTCTTGTGCTCCCTCGCTCCGTGCTGAGGTTCCCTGGCAGGGCTGTATTGCTTCATTGCTTTAGGGAATCCATTTATTTCCTGGGTCTCTGTGCCTAACACTCCTGAGCTCACTGCCTACAAAATGTGGTGGTGAATGCTCTTGTAAGGAGTTATGGGGGCACACAGTTGGCAGCTCATAGCAGGGCTGTGCTTTCCAGTGGTTGGGAGAGACACATGTAAGACTGCACGGGGTACCCAGCCTTCTCTCCCTTGCTATGGGAAAAATATTTGGAGTAAGAGAGAGAAAAGAGAAAACTGGCCCCAAATCATGTCTCCACCTGGAAGAACCTTTAGTCTATTCATTCCACTTTATCTCTTAACCTAGCAGACTTAGTTGGAAGCCCATCTCTCTCTCTCTCGCTCGCTCTCTCTCTTCCAACACCTTCTCTCTCCCAGGTTCAGCCTGGGAGTGGGAATGGACTGAGCCCCACAGTGCTAGGCGGTTCCTAAAGGCAAACTCTGTTCTGGCCCCCAAGAAGTTTGTATCCTCATAGGACAAAAGGGCAATAATTTATAATCCTACATAGCTGTGGCCAGGTGAACACAGGCTTGCAAGGTCAGAAATTGTGTAGGAAGGATGAGTGGGAAATAGGAAGACTTGCTCTCAAAGCATTAACTGGATACAACAGGCTTTGGATGGTGATTAATGATCTAGATAGTGTCCACTGCTCCTCTTCTTCCTTCTTGGAAAGAGCCCCGAGGTCATCACATGTCTTATCTGGTGTTTACTCCAAACTTCCTCTTTCTATGCTCACGGAAACAGTGGCAAGATGGGGGCCTAGGTTAGCCTAGGAATTGAGAGCTCCCTTGGCTATACTATACTTGCCATGCCTCAAAGCTGGATCTTAAGTTCCCTTCCCTTTTCTATAAGAAAGCCACAGTTGCACTTCCTGAGTACCTATGTCCAGACCTCAAGTCCTGGAAGAGTTGATCCAAGAGCTTTCTGGAATGCTGGTTGTGGTATGGATTTTCGTCGTGAAATTCCACCATTGTAGTTCACCACACCACGGCTTCTGATTCTCTGGAGACAGCTGGGTGACTAAGGAGATGCTCAATTTGGTGCAGGAGGGCTTGGGGGCTGGAGTGCTAGGTAGAAAACAAAAATTCAGGGGCCGGCCCGGCGCGCGGCTCATGCGTGTAATCCCAGCACTTTGGGAGGCTGAGGCAGGTGGATCACCTGAGGTCAGGAGTTTAAGACCAGCCTGGCCAAAATGGTGAAACACCATCTTTACTAAAAATAAAAATTAGCTGGAGGTAATAGTGCACGCCTGTAATCCCAGCTACTCAGGAGGCTGAGGCAGGAGAATAGCTTGAACCCGGGAGGCGGAGGTTGCAGTGAGCTGATATCGTGCCACTGCACTCCAGCCTGGGCAACAGAGTGAGTGAGACTCCATCTCAAAAAAAAAAAAAAATCCAGGGACCAATGATTACCAGCTTTCAAAGAGGAATCGTGATGGAGGGGTCTTCATATTAGAAGTAGATCAGGAGCCAAGGAACCAGTAACTGATCCAAAGAACAAGTAATCTTGGTCCCAATATCATCTTCAACTATAGATTTGGTTATTGTTATGAGCCAATCAGTAGGCATTTTGAGGCTATTTTCTGGGTATCAAGCACGTTAGCCACAAGGACTAAAGAGATCAAGGAAATAGGGTTGAGATTCTGCCCTCAGTCTTCTTATTTTTCTTTCCTATTGGTGGTCTCCATCCAGCAACTACCATGTCCATGTAAATGGGCTCCAGATCTAAATCCCCAATCCAAATCTCTAATCTGAGCTCCAGAAATATACTCCAGCCACTGCCAGAACAGCTCTATTACAATATATAATCTCACTCTCCCAAAGCCTGACATGTCCAAAATCAAATTTATCCATCAATCTCACTTCCCCTCCACTCTTCCTGGACCCGTCCATGTTCCAAAGCTTCACATCTTTCTGCCTACAATGATCTTATACTCTCCCTCTAATCAGTGTCTCATTATTCTTTGAGGCAACTCAGATCTCATGTTTTCTATTTATAAAATGTCTAGGTGCAATGAAGCACGTTCCTGAATCTACATTCTTTAAGGTACAGATGAATGGCCACTTCCCAGGTGAAGTCTCCCATAATCCCTCAGGCAGAAGGACCTCTTCCTCCTCTGGGCTCCCAGAGCCCTTAATCTGAAACTTTCTTTTAGCCCTTTCTACATTCATCTCCATTTCAAATGCAAATCTCTAATGTCTCTGTACTTCTGAAATATTCCTACTTCCCAATGCATTTAATAACTCTATAACCACCAGAAAAAAATCCTGCCATCCTAAACTCCTCCTTTTTTTGAACTGACTAGTGCCTTCTTCTGGGCTTCTCATCTAATAGAAACAGATCACACTTCCAGCTTCCTGGTACATGCTACTTCCTCACTCAGTTATGTTAACTTCTATGTTATTGAAACAGTCTATTAAATGGTGTGGGCACTTAGTGATAAGAGGAGACATTATCATGCTTCTCAAAGAGGATGACTTTAGAGTCAAATAGATGTGCATTTGATTTGGGTTATATACTTATTAAATGTGTGACCTTGAGCAAGCCACTTAATTTTTATAAGCCTCAGTTTCCTCATTTGTCAGTGGAAGGGTAATACTTTGAAAGTTTCATATTGTGCTCTTTCCCTCCTCCTTGAGTTTGCACATGCCATGCCTTCAGCTTAACTCTCTCACCCACGTTTTGCTGGAAAGACTTACGATTCTTCAGGCCTCAGCTTAGATGCAACACACCTCAGGAATTCCCCCAGCGCCCCCTCAGAGATCAGGTTAGTTGCCTTTTCCATGTGCTTACTGTTCGACGTCTTGGCACTTAGCCTTTGAATTGTAATAATTTGCTTCTTGCGCTTTCTTTCCCCCTTTGAGGAACTGCAAACTGTTGAGGACGGGGATCATGATTTCTTAATTGTCACATACCATTTTTGCCCTGCTTCATCCGCTTTTGATCCAAAAATAAAGCCAGCAAAATTAAGCCAGCCCAGCTAAGGAATTCATAATTCTGAAATTCTGAAAAAACTGTTGATTTCTCACTGAGCACTTACTAGCTGAGTGCATTGCAACATTTCAGCTCTTCAAATTGCCAGCTCCATTCTTGCCCTGTGTTAGGCACTGGGCAATAATTTGCTTTTGGTACAGAAATTGAGTGATGTGTCTCTGAACCGATGTTAAAACCCAATAGCTTCCAATTTCATAAGATTTACAGCCAGTTTTGTGCATGTGAAACTACCCAAATCACCAAGAGAATTAATTTTCTTAGGAGATTCTCATTCAGTAATAGCGATTTCCACAGTTTGTTTGGCACCCACAGTGGTAAATATTTTATTTTTAAAACTCAGCCACATATAAATGTGTTATAACAATCTAGGTACTTTGTCATAAATAAAAGCAATGATAACTATGGTGCTACCTTCTCTTCACTTCAAACGTCACTTCTGAAGTGTATATTTATAGTACATGAGAATTCAAAGAGGAAGATCCAGGGTCAGTTGGCCCAGGTTCCATCCCCATCCATGACATTCACTAGCTGTATGATCTTGGGAGAGTTATTTCATTCCTCTGTGACTCAGTTTCCTAGCCTGTAAAATAGCAATAATAGCCTCTGCATTATAGAGTTATTGGATGGCTTAAATGAGCTAATACATGTAAGTGCTTATAATAATGCCTAGCACCTGGTATAAGCACTCTATAAATGTTAGCTATTGTTATTTGCCAGGGGTGAATCAAATATAAGAAGAGTATTTGGATAAGATTACCTTTAAATTCCCTGCCAGTCCTGAGGTTCTATGTCTCTATATCATTCCAGTCCCTCAGCATTCCTATTCAGTAGGGAGGGGGCAGCATTATCCACATTTTACAAACAGTAGAATTGAGCCATAGAGAAGCAAAATGTCCAGTAAGCAAGTGGCAGTCTGAAACTAGGACTAAGGTTTTTAGATGTAAGTATGAGGACTCTTTCTGGGAGGCTATGCAGCTGCACATTTAAAAGCAAGCGTTAGATATCCCTTATGAGCCTGTGAGCAGTGAACCCTTGGTCCCCCTTCTCTGCCAAGGTTCTCCATAAATGTGCATCAAGGTCACTCCTGTCTCTATCTCTGAGATGATCTCGGGCCATATCTTTTCAGATATTTTTCTTGCCAGCTTAAAAAAAAGGCTATATTCTGGAGTTGGATTAAGAGCCAGCTCGATCTCCTTGGTTCCCTGTATTCTTTGCTGCTTTAGGCATTCCTGTGCCTGGGTCATGAAGTAGGTATACACATACTTCACATGGCTCTCGACCCTGACTCTCTGGAGGGTTCCTTCTGCTGAGCCAGGACCTTAAACCACTTGAGAACCCCACAACTGACCTTATTCCAAAACATTCTATCCCAACCACTCGCCCATCCCATTCCACCCTGGATTTCTCCTGCAATCGTGGGCAAAGCATCTGCAAAAGCTCCCATCCTCTCCCTTTCTCTCCCTATCTGAAGAAGCCTCTGCGTTCTTCAGGACCCTGGCTATGCAGAGGCAGCCCCAAGAGTTAGTGGGTGCGGGGAGTTTCCTGTGCCTGAATCTGGACTATTCGAGAGGATTTAGGATGCTTTTCTTTTCTGTCCACTAGGGGGCTGCTTGTAGGGGGATGGAAAAAACTGAGGCTGAAAAAAAAAAAAAATCATGCTGCTGAAATTTCAGCAAGAGGGGAAAAGAGAGAGCGCGTGAGAGAGAGACAGCAAAGCAGTCCCAGGCTTCCTCCTCTCTTTCACGTCAGAGGCAGGACCCGACTGTGCTAAGGCTGTTGGCTCAACACGCAGAGGAGACTGGCAGACCCAGGGAGAGTGAGAGAAGGGGGTCCTCCCTGACCCAAGGAATTACCACTAGTGGAGTGAAGCCACCTGACTTTTTGATCTTATTTTGCTTGCCTCCTCATTCTCCTTCCACCCGTAGCCCTGACAGCTTGGGTTTCATTTCTTTCGTAGATCCTTGTCTCTTCCTCCCAGAAAAGGAGGAAGGGAAGAGAAGGGAGAGAGGTGGGCTCCCTAGGTGAGCGCATCAGCTGGCTCCAGCCTGAGCAGACAACAATTTTCTTCCCAGGAAGCTCCTCTCGCTTCTCGGCCGCCCACCCCCAGCCTGGGTAAGTCCGGAGCACTCGCTCCTTTGATTTTCTCGCTAACGTGATTTCAGCACCAAGGAGAGCTATGAGATGCATTTTGGTTCCTGTGTGTCTGTGTGTTCCTGCAAGCCGTTTGGCACTAAGGTTACATCTATTTCTCTGCTGCCAGTAGAGTCGGGTTCTGCGTAGGGAAAAGAAAGGCGCAAAACTATGTTTACCGAATTTAAGGGGGATGTGGACTTTGGCCTTGTGTGTGTGTGTGTGTGTGTGTGTGTGTGTGTGTGGACTGTTGCATAAGACAGGTGAGGTCTGAGCTAAATTGCCGGTGGTTTCTGCGTGTCTCCATATAGGGCTGTTCTTTTTGTCTGTAGATAAGGGAGAGGGTTTGGGGAATGAGTTGGGCACCTTCTTTAACTCTCTCCCAACAAGCCATCCATGGTGGGAAAGTATTGCAAAGGAAACCTGGGGGGTTGGGAGTGGAGGTAGAGTTAAAAGTTGGGCACCTCTGAAAGAGCTTTAAGGAAGTGGTTTCTTAAATGTCGGTTTCCTAGGATTCTCTGGGCTCTTGCTGTGGAGAGAGCCCAGGCTGACCTTTTACTTTCTCTCCTGATGTGAACCCATGGCAAGTGGGCAGGTGCAACAGGTGAGGCTCAGGCTGGGGCGGCTCTGGGGGACTGAGGTCCTTTCTGACTTCATGGTGGTAGAAAAGTGCCAGTGTCTTGAGCTTCACAGAGATTGGCTGATGTGAATTATATTACATTTGCAGAAGGCAGGAGGTACTCTCCACTTTTCTGTCATCATTGGCTATGGGTGATTGGAAAGAGGACAAAGTCTGTTCTGCCCTGTTTTCTGGGGCATCTGGCAGTGAAAAACAGCTCAGAAGAAAGGTGTGTCTCTATATGTCTAGGGGAAGCAGAAACAAACTTAGACTTGTCCCATACTCAGGAGGGCTTGGAGTGGTACTCTGTTCTCCTTCAGCACTGAGAGACTCTGCAATCGGGATCTCATTATTACTTCATTCCTCATTGCTACTACTTTTTGCAGGGTATTCCTCTATTCTCTCCTGCTTTCTGCCTCTCTGGATTATGTTCAGTCAATTTCCTGCATCTGCTTTGGTATGGTCTTGGAGACACTATATGCTGGCCTCTCCCCCATTCAGTCCTGGCCACACCTACCTGGGTGAGTTATTCAACAAGTGGTGTTGAGGGTTTCCTTCAATCATTCAAGTCTCGGTGGAGCCAGCATCCGACAGGGAACTTGAAAGAGATTTGACTTCTTGTAGGAGCAAGTTTTCCCTTGATTTAACCCCTAACTATTTATGGTTCTGGTCACTTTCTTCAAGTGTGTTGAGACAGGGGAGATACACATGCAGGGGAGTGGTTCACTCTTTCCAATCCCAAATGAACCCTAGAATGGCAATTTTTTGTCTTATTTTTAATTCAGCACAATGGGTCCCTCCTCCGTGATGAAGAAAATACTCTCCGCCTCTGGCTGGGGAGCCTTCTGGGTGAGGGATGTAGTTCTGAGTGAAATGGCACCACTTTTCTTTTTTACTACGCTTGGCATTGGATCCAGAAATCTTAGCATCTCCCTAGAATGGCAGGAAGTAGAATGCAGTCAGGAAGAGAGTGAAGTCAGAGGTTGTAAGGGTAGAGAAGAAAGACTGAAATAGACAAATGCAGAGCATCAGAAACCAACACTGACTCATTCAATGTTTTAGTGCTCCAAACCCTCCTGTCCTTGAAATCTTCCTGTTTGAACAAGTGAGTGGATGGATTTCTGCATGACACCTCCCTGAGGGTTTAAAAAACATTATGCCCTTGCAGTGGACCCTGTCCAAAGCCACTGAAGTCAGCATACTTAGTGGTCATTATCTCATTAATGCCCTTAAATTCTCTCTGCAAAAAAGTGCTCAGTGACATTATTGGACCCATTTTATAAATGGAGGGACATAGACACTTACAGTGGGAGGCCAGAGGATAGCAAAAGCAGAAACAGAACTTCTAGCCTGCTAATATACCCTCACCTAGGAAATGCAGTAATGCTCCTGTGCAGAAGAGAAGGGATGGATTGGTCCCCAAAGGACAGGCTTACAGCCAAAGCCTTTTAGGGAACTCAGTGTGGAGCAATGGCCTCACCCTGGTGAAAAATGAGAATCAGCAAGAAGCCTCAAGGTGCTGATGGCCTCTACTTCTCAGCTAAGAAGATGGCCAAGAGCCAGATGGAGAGCTCTCTGGGCTTACTGCAAAGAGAGACCCCTGGGCTGGTGATGTCTAGGTTGAACTGATGTCATGTGCCTGATTGCCACATTACCATGCCCAGAAATCCCAGCTGAAGGCCCCCTATCTGGGGCATGTTGCCATAGATGTCTTGGCTTTGGGTGTTTGGTGACTGTTCTCTCCTATGAATGTTTTCTGGAACCACCTTCGTTGAGTCCTCTGTGGTTCTGAATGTGGCAAGGATAACTATGGAGCTGGAGAGGGCTGGGCTCTGACCACTTGTAGAACCGCTAGAAGACGAGTGGGAAACTGGGTGCAAACCCACTTCACATATAAAGCCACTCCTGCTACATTCCTGGCCATCACATCTGGCCAGCGTCCTGGAGAGAAAGCCACTAAGTTCTCATGCCCAGCCCTCCTTCACTGCTCAGGGTAGACTGCTGGGCTGCCTCTCGGGACTGGGGAGATGAGAAGTGGTGGGGAAAGATGGAAGGAGGAGGTCAGCTGTTCTGCCCTATTCTCCATGGCGAAGGTTGCCATCTTTTACCTGGAAAGGGCCACTATTACTTTTTTGTTGTTGTTGAAAAAAATGAGTTATAGTTTGTATATAATAAAATGCACTGATCTTAAGCATTCAGATTAAGTTTTGACAATTGCGTACACTTGCGTACCCCCAAAAAGATATACAAAAGCTCCCTGTGCTTCTTTCCAGTTTTTCCCCTCCCCCAATTCCATCATTTTCTGACTTGTATCACCATAGCTTATGCTGCTACATTTGCAGTGGAAATGTATTGCTGAATGTATTACTTAATAGACGTGGTATCTAAGCCCTAGACTTTCAGGAGAACATCTCTGAGTTCTGAGGCTATTTTTAACGCATAGTAGCAAAGATGTGCGAGGGGTACATTCTGTACCCCAGCTTAAGGTCATGGTGTTAGAAAGCCAAGTGGTCATTTCAATCGTGTTCATGGAAACCAACAATCAAATCTGAACAGAAATTGTGGAAGCCCCTGAGGGCAACTGCCTCGGAGCTTACATGAGTTATCTGATGGAGTTCATGGAGATGAGTTTGAAATTTCCATTAAAAACTTGGAATTCAGTATTCAGGTGGCTGGTCATGAGTCTCCCCACCTGGGCTTCAGGAGAGTGAGCTGAGAAAAGAGTACCCATGTGAGCTTAGTAAAGAAGAAAGAGAAGAGTTCATTGTGATAGAACTTATGCCATGAAATTCAGCCCTATCCGCAAAGGTCATGGCTGAGGAGGGTGCTGTTTCTCTTTGTTAAGAGTAAATTTAGAACCAGAAGCCGTATATAGAGACCTACTTACCAACACAGCTCTATCCAAGGACATCTCCATTCACCCTGCTCCCATCCCTGGGTTGTGGGCTAGGTGAGGTAATACTCTTTTGCGTTTTACCATTAAGAAGTAATGGAGTTATCAGAAAGTTTGGTAACTTTGGCGGGGTGTGTGTGTGTGTGCACACGCGCATGTGTGTGGTATCAGCACACACATACAAACATGTATAACCAGTTTGGACACCTTGCCTATCTAATTCTCTTTTATCCTGTCTCTCATTTAAGGGTCACTGGATAAAGATGGGGAATTTTGTGCACCATTTGCACATAGGTCTTCAACAAGGAAATCAGAGTTTCTGGCAGATTACTCAGTAAATTAGAATCTTTAGTGGAGCTTAAAATGTGTTTAGCTAGGTCATAGACCTATTTACATGTTCAGATGGTGCTGATGTCCTTTGCCTCCCTCCATTTGGAGACCTTACTCTAGCACGTGCTTCCAGGGCTTTGCCCCATTCTGAGGTCACCTGCCTTTGAGAATGCACTCAATGCACTGAGCCAGCTCTTTGAGGGGAAGTCTCCTGAGTCATCTCTCCCAGCTGCGATCCCACAGAGTAAAGTATAGGTTGCTAAAACACCATGTCATGGAAAGTTAGAAGATAGCCAAAGTGAGAACTCCCTAGGACAGAAATACAAAGTTGAATGATGTCCACAAAACCAGTTCCAGTAGAGGATTTGGCAGAAGTGCAGAGACACACTTTTGCCTCATTTTGATTATGGGTTATGCTAATAATGATGAGATTTCCTACCTAACTAGTTTCATCTTCTTAAGAGCAAGTCCAGTGGGGAAGGGGGAATTGGAATGGGATTGTTCAAAAGCTATGTCCAATCACGTGTGTATAAGAATCACTACATCATTACCTTGGAAATGTGACTTTGAATTAGAACTATATTGGTAAATTTTGAGCACAGTAAGCTAATGATATGCCAATTGGCAAAGGGAATTCAAGCAACCTTGTCTTTTTCTCTTTCCCTACTTTTAAAAATACAGTTCAGTGGCAGTAAGTACATTTACATTGTATGCAACCATCACCAGCATCTGTTTTCAGAACCTTTTCATTTTTCCAAACTGAAACTCTACCGTTAAATGCTAATTCTCCATTTCCTCCTCTCCCAGCCCCTGGCAACTTCTACTTCCTGTCTCTATGAACCTGACTATTCTAGGTACTATATGTAAGTGAAATCATACAATATTTGTCCTTTTATAGCCAGTTCATCTTATTTAGCATAATGTCCTCAAGGTTCATCCATGTTATAGCATGTATCAGAACTTCATTCCTTTTTTATGGCTAATATTCTACTTTATGTATGTACCACATTTTGTTTATTCATCCATCCATCAATGGATGCCTGTATTGTTTCCTATTCCCCTCCTTTAATTCTGGCTAATTGACTCTGCTTTACTCTCCAGTCAAGTAAGAAACAGACACTTTCCCATGATTACACTCCC